AAAAAAGTAAAAAACCCAACCAAAAAAAATGGGGTTTCAAAAAAAAGAAAAAAAAAAAAAAAAAAAAAACCTGCAAGTAGAGTAGGAACGAGAATGCGCTCTTTCCAAGGATCAGATGACGATGAAGTTGAAGAAGCAGAAATCAGTAGATCTGGGTTTTTGTCACCTGAAGCCATTACTTGATCCAACTGGTCATAGACGGCGGTAATGACAGTGGCGGAGCCGACGGATTTGTACAAGAATTTGCAATTAGGCTCATGGGCTGTGAACAGACCCAAGATTTATACAGTCCATCGACGAATATTTATTCAGGCCCAATTAATCACTTGTACTGGACTTTCTCTTTTGGTATATATGGATAGAATTCAGACAAATGACACCTAGAGCGAGAATATGCCCCGGTTTGGCCTCCATTCTTGTCAAATTTTAATGGTTGGAATAATATTTTTTGAAAAATGTGTGATTGAAAAAGAATGAAATTTTTTTGATTTACATATAATATTATTTTATGAAAAATTGTGTGATTAAAAATAAGAGAGAGGAGAAGAATGAGAGCCAAACAGGGGCTATAACAATTTTGTAACAATTCTTTGATTTTGTTGACAAAAATTATTTTTTTCTATTACATTTTACTTATATAAAGTAGATCAAGCTCTTAAGAGACAGATTTTACAAGATTTTTTTCTCAACTTTCATTTGTAATACTTTTATTTCGTAAAAAATGAGTCGTTTCTAAAGGCATATAATCTAAAAAGATTATGCCTCATGTTTTAGATAAACTTAAAATTTTTAGTAAATCTTATTAAAAGTTAATAGAATGTATCATTGAAAAATTGTGGATCCATAAAATGTGTGGTTAAAATTGACTCTGATTTGCAATGTCCAACAAACTAAGCATAACACAGGTAAAGCAAATATAATAAGATGATTTTATCAATGCATATGATTTGATTCATTTATTTAACCAAATACATATATATATCTATAAACTCCACATCAGCTGCCTTAATAGGGACTTTTATATACCAAGAATTGAATAGAATTACAAGTCTGAATATAGAAACATGATTTTCAAAAATTGCTCAGCCTGTCGCAAGAAAGGTGAAAATCAAGGGACTAATGGGTTGTCTACTGAGGCCGAGAAACCATTGAGTCCTTGCTCACCACCCCAACCATTAGTCTCGAGTTTTCTTTGATAAACTGGCCCTGTTCTTCTCTGGTTTTCTGTAGATTCAAATATCACAACCATCAAACAGGAAAATATATTGAAATAAAGAAGATTTTATGGAAGGCTTACTTTTGCTAGTTATTGCAGATCGCGTAATAGCTAAAAATTCGTCCCAGTTAAATTTCCCAAGTTGCTGCTTTTCGTTCTCCGATAGTTCAAAGTTGGGCTCCCTTCCACACATGAATGCAGCCCTGCAAATGAACCTCGTTTCCACTCAATTATGATGTAAGAAATCTTTTACAAAGCATGAAAAATTCTCATTACAGTTGCACATACTGGTATTATAGACCTCGTGATAGTTCCCAAAAGTAAAAGTTTTAAGAATGTCGGGCATGCTGTTTCTGTTTCTGTTAGAACTAACAAGATCGTGTGGCAGTATTTTGCATAAATAGAGCCTTGTTTGAACGGATGCTCTTTCCGAGCTGTATTTTGCACAAGAACTTGTGCACCAAGAATTATTGGTTTGACCATGAAAGTCGAACAGTCATTAAAATATACTTGCATACAATAATTACATACAAATAATAGGGACAGATGGATATAAGTTAGGATGCTGGATTTATATACTGCAAGAAAGTAAAAAATGTTTCCATTAGAATCAATAGTATCCTCTAATAATACCTGTCATATAGCTTAGCTGCCTCTTCCTGAGACCCTACAGTTCCCAAATGGATCTGTTTCTTGTCAACTTTGATTGCAGCTTGCCATTTCATATTCTTGAAATAGACACCTCTCATAATACATTGTTCTTGGTTTTCGACGTGCTTTCTTCTGTGCCGCTTTCTGCGTTTAAGCTCTGGAATAGAAGAGGATGGATAAGATCAAAGACCAAAATAAAGAAATAAACATAAACACAATAAAGGCATCTTTACTAGAACTTGCAAATACATATCATACAAGTATTGTAGAAAAAATCTAATGAGTAAATCTACATAAGAAAATACATAAGCATGGACTCGACAACCAGACTGATCATTTGATAAAATCGACATTTATAGTCTGAGTGTAATCTACACCTTAATAACTTCAGCTTTTTCCCCCTACCGAGTCATCAATATAATTAAATTTTTACTCCATTTTTATAAGATGGGAAAGCTATCTTCCCCTTGGAGAGACCCCTACCCCAATCGCCCGCTTTCTTGCGCAAAATAACCATCATTCTGGTCTACAAATGGTAAATGCTATAAAGGAAATTAGGCCATGTGCAAATTATTGACAACACTGCTGCCTCTCCCTTCTATATTCTCTACTTCACACTTCTCTAGTTCGAACTTGAGCAAACCCCGAACTATCACAATCTCAGTCCTGGTCCTCAGCAACCAATAACCACCATCACCACCAGGTAACAAGCTCTCTGACATCATTAAAGCAGCCACTAGTTTACGGGGAAATTTTGTATATTTTGCGGTTCGAAGATCCAAAGTGGGGATTTAAACTTCCTTCTGGACTACTCCACAATAATTTTTGCTAATTACTAAAACCAGAAAAATTTAATGTCAAACACAACAGCACATCTTTCTCCAACACTTACTCATGACTTTGTAACCATTATTTTCCTCTTATCTATGCTTCTTTTAAAAGCATTTTTTGAAATCTGATCAGGCTCTTAATGGATAATAAATGAAACACGTAGTCAAAAGGTACCATCAAAATAAGGAGGTACAGATTGCATAGCAGAACAAGGGTGCATATGCGTTGCGCATGTGGTGTTATTCAAATAACTTTTTGATCCATCATACATTCAATATATCATCATTCAGCAAGACCAGAACAGGTGTATAAGAAAACATGAATAAGAACAGACCTGGGAATTGATGAATATGATGCTCTTTTAGGGGACTGGAAGTTGGAACATTTGATGAACCAGGCCCAATTTCCACGGAAGTTCTCTAGCAGATGGTAAAGACCGAAAAGGAAGTCTAATTTAATAAAGTATGTGTGGAAAACATATAGTGCTTAAAATAAAGCATGAAGACAATAAAGAACTAAAATAGTAAATAATGTACCAGAGAAAAACACTGGGCACGAGCATGCACATATTTACTGGCAGAGAATAGACAATAACTCGTACATGTATCTTCTAATTTCAAGCTCCAAGTAATGTTATAAATTGATTACAAAAATGAAAGGAAGCGAAAATTATGAAAAACAATAGCATATTAGGAAGACTATTGCAGTCTCCAAACTCTATTAAACCATCCTAAACAACCCCACACACACACACACACACACACACAAAACAACATCCCAGTGAAATTGTACATACAGGGAAAGAAAATTAATTCACTAAAATTATATTATCAAGAGAACAATAAATTCAACCATCCTTTTCACTGATTATACTGATTGATTATAAAAACGAAGTATTGATGCGTGAGAGATGAAACAAATAGGAATGCTTGTTTTTTATATGGTATCTTTGAACGGGAAAGGAAATCAGGTCCCTGTCATTCTTTAAATATCCCCGTACAGACTGAGATATTCATAACCCACTGAGCACTTCCAAGATATGGAAGGATCTTTCCATAACAAACGGAAATGATAGCAAAAAATGTTTCAATATAGTTAAGAATAGATCCATTCCTACCACTGAGACTTCAGAACTTAGAAAACCTAAAATCCCAATATTAAATTGGTTACAAAACAATCACCAATGGTTATGAAATGACTTGCTCACATGAGAAACCATATCTGTGACAGTTCAAATTTAAAGATAGATTTTATGCCTATGAAGAAATAATACTTCAGTATCCATGAGTACCTCTTTTAGTGGGTCAATATCATCTAAAACCATGGGGTGAACACTGACCGGTTTTGTGTTATCTACACGATTTTCAGTATGTTGTCCTTGCTCATACTTGGAAATTGGAGCAACTGAAGAATTTAGCCCTGTGTAATAATGCATATGTATCAATATCTTCATTCACGGAGAGAGACTCATAATTGGCCATTAAATACAGAAGAAGAAAAACAGACGACCATTATTAATAACACATAGTGCTCCATGAAGGCCAGTACAAAATAATAGATAGTTAAATGCATACTTACTTTATAAAAGGATTTAACATCGACCATATATTAATTAAACTATTCATACCTGAACAGAGTCCTAAGAGCTTGCGCCTTCGAATGCTCACCATGGCTGTTTCAGTATTCCTAATAGGCAGGCAGAATATTAAGATATCTACGACTTCATACACTCACCCATAAAGGATCTGAAACGATACTTACTTGACTCAAGTAAAGCACCAAAAAGATCGCGTATGATGAAGGGTTACAAGACATGTACATTTTAGCGTGTCATTGAACTTCATTTTTTTGGGCAGGATAAATTTCATAATAGTAATTTTTTGGAGAACATGCGGTTAAAAAGTAGGGAAATATTTTGTGTTTATGTGTAAAATTATTTTATTGGGAGACCATGTGGTTGAAAATGAATTTTTTGATAATGAGGCTCAAACAGAGGCTTAAATAAAAAGCATTTTATGCAACATATTGAGTGTCATATTTGATGGCAGAAGATAGAACCCAAAACAACTTCCAAAGAATGCTGACATTTGAAAACAGAAAATAGCAAGAGAATTAAAAAGCAAAATAATTATAAGTTCCCCGGTAAAATTTCAGCAGATAGCCAAATTAGATTCACATGGTCAATTTTGTTTTTTTATTTTAGTTAAAGAATATCTCTGTGTTCTATCTGAAAGTTCATTACAAAATATAATCATTGTGAAAAGAATAGTAGCAGACATCCAAATAATTGCATTGTCAGAACTGCTAAGTCATCACGACAATTAACAAACTTAAGTCTCGTTCACAATAAGGTTGAGATCAGCTACATGAATGTCTTTACACCACTCAGGGAACACATTTCTTATGAAATTTTGCAATCTCCCACTCAGTTAACAAAGTCTAAGATGGCAATGGCATGTTCCTTAATTACAAATTCTGCACCTTCAAAATCAGACACAAAGTTGTACTGATACAGAAGCCAAAATAGATCAGTCGAACTTCGACAAATCAAGAATTAGCCATCTTTTCCCACTGGCATATTTCATTCAAGTAAAAAAACCTTGAACTCCTACTGGCATTACCCACAAAACCATAAGGTCGTAGAATGACAATCTATAGCTATTTCTAACTATAAAGTTAATCAAAACACACGTTAACATAACCACAAATAGAATTTCAAGAAATCAACACAAATACCCAAATAATTCCTTTTGAAGATTGGCAGTTTCTCTCTTAGAATTCCAAGTCAACCCCACCAACCTACCACCTTTCATGGAGTCAAGAACGTGAAAAGCCAACCAAGAAACTAACAAAATTGAATAACACACACTTGTACAACAAACCACAAAGGAAAATCAAGACAAAACCCACATGTAATACGAAGATTTGTCATCATCAAGCACAAATGCTCAAAGCCCATAAAGCTTTTTGTAAGTTTTACTAGTATACAAGTCAACCTATAGAGACAAAACCCAGTTTACAACATCCGTTTACAAAGAAAGACAACAAAATGTTACAAGAGGCATTATAAAGAGTGGGAGTTGATACCTGAAATAAACAGGACAAATAGAGGGTAAAACCCACTAGTTTGTGGGTTGTGAAACCAAGGAGGAAAAATCAAAGTTAGGCGGCGGGGTGGGTGGACGCGGGGTGGTGGATTACAAAGGGAAGGTGGTGAGAATATGGAGAGAGATAGAGATAGTATTCAATAGTGGTTGGTGTTTAACTCATGCACCTACGACCTTTTATTTTATTTCTACTGTATTATGTCTTATGTATTTGGGAGATGGAGTGGTGGTGTTGGGTGACAACTGACCATGGTTGAAGAGAGAGAAAGACGGATACAGGTTACAGATATAAACAGTGGCGTGGGGGTTTATGAGGAGTCGGGTATCGCTCCTATTTTGTGTTTTTTAGCTAAATTTTTAAAGGACGAAACTGCACTTGGGGGTTGGTGCATTGAAATTGACTAAAATGCCACTAAGAAACTAAAGTCTATATTAAAGTCAATAACTAATTTTAACCACACATTTTTTGGGAATTCAAACAAAAAAATCATATATTTCGTCAATTTTTATTAAAATTTATGAAATTTTTGATTTTAATCTCCACTAAAATGATGCTAAATATACTTAACAATATTTTATTTTAGTTTTTCGAGAATAATGTTATTAGTCATTAATAATGATCATCGTCGATTTAAATATAAGTTAAATAACTAATTCATTATCAATGAAGTGGGATGTATTTAACGTACATTGAACGACAAAATAAGAGGCCCACCTAAATTGAGATAAAATGTCGTGAGCGCGGGTCGAATCGCATGATAGGGTTGAGTGCCCAACCAACGATGGCCGAGTCGAACAATTTAGCTCGACTCAATTCACTTTAACACCCCGTGTGACCAAGTAAAACTAAATATATGCTCATTCTACCAAGTACCGATTCTCTTGCCACAACTTGTACATGATCATATGCACGTGCAGTGCGCGTTTCTCTTTCAGTAATTCCATTTGTATTGATTGTGAGCTCCCTCATATGAGGTGATTGTACACCAGTGTAAATATAGTGGAATTCCTTTTCTTTTACATACCATTCATCTGGATAAACAAAACAAAAATATTCTTCTAGCTGAATTTTCAATTCACCTATTTGATTAAATTTAAAAGAAAATTCAAGTACACAAAAGAATTAATTTAAAATAAATTATTCAACTATTAATCACAGAACCTATAAAATATATTTATTTTAAAAAATATCGTGAGACCATAAATGATAAAATCAGATAGTGAATGTTAAATACTTTATTTTCTCATAATTGAATTATTTACTCTTTGTGTTTTAACGCACGTTGGGAAGCTTCATTTCTTATTTCAGAAAGCTCGTTTTTTTCATAATCCCACCATCAATCTATTTTTAAGCATGAGAATCAAAAGATTTAGATTGAATAGTAAATTACTATATCAAAATCTGTCTAATTTTTCCAGTAAAAAGAATCATTGTTAGTCAACATGGATATTAATGATCACACTTTATATTATCGAAGGGTAATTATGTCAAAACAGCAATTTGGAAGCGTGATTTTGGACTATAGTCCCGTGAAACAGTGACAAGTCAAAAGGTTAGAAAAGAGAGGGACAAAATAGGAAATTCGGCGAAAAAAATAATGTACGGTTAAGCCAATAATTAATTTGGAGGGGTGGCAGAGGAAAGATAAAAGCACCGACGAAAATATGATTGGATAACGTTCCGCCGATCTATGTTTCAATCTTTTCATTAATCATCTATCGTATAAGCTTTGGTATTTACTAGCATATATCTAATTCGGTAAAATCGAGATCGAGTAAATTGAAGTAAGGGTTTGTTTAATTGTAAAAATTGAATTTAGCTGAAAAGAATACAAATTTTAGGGAATTGAATTGCCTAAAAATTATTTTTATTGAGAATTGTCAATTATTGTGTTTGATTGGTATAATTTTTCATGTGAAAAATGTTGAAATAAAAGTATTTTTTTGTATTCGTTTGACTTCATTTTATATGAAAATTATCAATTAAAATGATAGAATTTACTGATATTAAGGATGAAATTTGTTTCCATTGCGAGAAAAGCCAAGAAAATAAAAAATATCCAAAAATCATCTATCTTTTTATGTTCGTTTGACTTTATTTTATATGAAAATTGTCAATTTAAGGGATATTCTCTTTTACAATTGCTCCTAAAATTTGTTTTAATTGCAAAAAAAAAAAAAGACTAGAAAATCATTCCAACTACTTTGGCGAGAATTGAAATTCAAGGAAAACAAGAAAAATGCTTATAGCAAAATCAATTCCATGGATAAAAAATTGGCATCAAACATGGCAAAAGTGGGAAATGGAATTTAAATTCCATTTTCCATGGAATTCCTAGTGATGTCAATGCTCGGCTCAGTCCTTAACCTCACGAGCTCGGCTCACGCTCGTGGTGAGCCGAGCTCGTGGCTCATCTTCAACGAGCCGAGCCAAGCTCGGCTCGTTGATTTTGGGCTAGCTTGTGGGCCGAGCTGAGCTTTGGCTCGCGAGCTCATCATCTTTTTCATTTTTTTTAATAGAGAAAAACACAAATAATATAATGAAAACACTTTTTAAAAAAATAAAAATTGTTAAAAAAATACAAATAATTTAATGAGACACTTTTTTATGTTTTTATTTATATCATATTATAATATTTTTTATAAAGTATAAAATATTTATATAATGAAGACGAATTGTTTTTTCAAATACATTTATAAAAAATATTTTTTTAAATACATTTATAAAAAATATTTTTTAATTTCTTTTTAAAGTAGATAAAATGTAAACTCTCATCATTTCTCTAGGTTTGGGACCGATTACATCAATTTTATGTAAGCGGAGTTAAAAATTATACATAGGGATGTCAAACAGGTCGAGCGGCTCGTCGGCTCATCAAAATCGAGCCTAAGCCCGAGCCACGAGCCGAGCCTGCTTGGCTCGTAAAAAAATATGATAAATTTTAAAAAAAAGTCCAAAATGTACAAATTTATTCAAAAAAAAAAATTTTAATTAAAAAAATAACCGACTCGTGGACTTGGCTTGGCTCAGCCCATGAGCTCACGAGCTCGACTCGACCTATTGTCATCTCTAATTATACACGAACAACTTGTTGTAACGTATACAATTTTTTAAAGAAAATTAGATTTAATGATTAAAAAATAAGAAAATTTTAATTAATATAATTAAATCAAATATCACTTATCTGATAACATGTAATTTCAGCGTATTTATCTTGTAATCGAAAATGAACATTCTGCCAATCCTTCACGTATATTAATGTTTCCAAAATATCTTCTTTCAGTCGGCTCCTGATATCGGTCAAAACCCTTTTATCTGCACTAAAAGCAGGCTCCGAAGCAACAGTGCTAACCGGAGATGTCAGTAGATCTTTCGCAATTGCAGAAACAATTGGCCAACGCCTTCCATACTTTCGCCAGAATTCAATTACTTCTTCTGAACTTTTTTTAATTGTTTTGTCTGTTGGCATATTATGATTGAAGTAATCAATTAATTCGGCAGACATCGCATTTTGAGTTGCAGCTGATATTTGATGAGATGCAAATGTAGACGACATGGCACTAAATGAACACATTGCAGTTGCATCATATCTAAATGTATTAATGTCTTGAAATAAATTCATTATTTCGGCTTCATCTTTTTCAATTTCAGCTAAAGGAGTAGGTGCAGACGGTACCTGACTAACATTCGCACCCATTCTTTCCGCATATAAATCATACACTCCACATAATGTTTGTTCTAAATTCTTATAGGTGATAGGTGTATCAAGTATTAAGGTTTTATTGATTTGATCAATTACGTATTTAGTTTCCAAAATATTATATCGGTGGTCCATTGCGCATACTAAAGGAAATAACAGAGGCAGTTCTTTCCAATATTTTCTAAATTTTAATTCCGTAGCAATTATAATTTCACTAAAAGCATGATCATTTTTATATTTATGGAATGTTCTTGCAATTATATAAAGACGTTCAAGTATCATACAGCTTGTGGGATAATAAACGCCGAATAAAATCTTTGTAGTCTCATAAAAATCTGTCAAAAATCGTTTAACTTTCAAAACTAAAACTCAATCGGATTCATTCAACATACCATCGTCATCACTTCTAACATGTCTATTGTTATAAAAGTCAATTCTTAAATGTTGAAAATCTTCACATGACTTTAATAGCAAGTAGAGTTCCATCTATGGCCTACGTCGCTAACAAATGTTTTAGTAATCGTCGCCCCTAGTTCGACACAAAAATCTTCAAATGCTTGTTTTCTAATAGGAGAGATTATAATATATACTAATGCATTCATAATTCTTTGAAGTTCATCATTTTTATGTTCTAAACCATCTTATACAATTAAATTCATGATATGACACACACAACAAATATGAAACATATACCCACCAAAATCAGGTTGAAGTGTTCTACACAATTTATCGATTACTACCTTATTAACACTAGCATTATCAAAAGTAAAAGATCGAATTTTAGTCTCGCAATTATATTCTCTAACAATACTGATAATATCATTATATATATTATTAGCATTGTGAGGAAATTCAATAATTTTAAAAGCAATAATTTTTTTTATGCATACACTAAAGTGGGTCTATTTAGTGTACGGCTGCAGCTATATATACTCTTTTATTAACCCCTTCCCATATATCACAAGTTAAAGATATAACACTCTATATTGTTGCAAATTCATAATTAATTGTTGTTTTGAATTATTGAAATATTGTATTGTATTGGAACGAAAAATGTTTCGACTTACCCCCAACGTACCCTGGTCGCAGATATTTTTTCGCGAACGAGACGAAGTGTTGGTTGTCTGCGATAGCCACAGGCAACTTAGTGGCGGTAACAAATTTCACCATTTCGGTTCGAGTATTGTCCTCCGAATATACCTATGTGGATAGGGGTGAAGTCGTAGAATCGGCACCTGGACTACCAAATTGCAATTGTGTTTGACCAACTGGAAGAAGTCCATGTCTGGCCGCACATGCTTTGAAGTGGAGGTTGAGATGGGTGGTACCAATTCCTTTTTGTCATGCTAATCTTTGTTAGCAGTATTTACATATTGTTTTAGATTATATAAGGCCATCGACGACTTTTCCTGTTGAAATCAACTTAAAGTGATCCCAACATTTTACTTTTTTTTGCCCTATCGCTTTCCCCTCGTATTTGGGATGTTTAATTCGGCATCTTCGTCCTCATATTCTATTTCGGGAATGTTAATATTATCCAAATCAATTGGATTGTGGCTGCATTGACCGTGAATGTGAACATTTTGAGGTATGAGTATGTCATTTAGACCGACAAATTTATTTGAAAATTGACTTTGCGACGTCCTAGGCGATTCGCCATGTGAACCATATCCCCTATCGAATAAACTCTCAACAAATGAGCGTTGGTTCATTTGTTTGATTGTTTATGATGAAATCCAAATATAATAATTAGAAAAATATAAATGTAGTGAGATTGTGAGAATTGAGAATTGGATGAATTGAAATTATAACTAATAAACTGTAAAAAATGAATCGATATTGTATATTTTACAGCACAAAAGAGTAAAAACTCGATAATTGATATAATAAAAGAGAATTGAGAGAGTTGAAATAGTGATTGAGAGGAGATAATTCATATAAAAAAAAGGGAGTTAAGGGGTATTTATAGTAGAAGGGAAAAAAGTAAAAAAAAAATTCAGTAATCGTTAAGTGACCGTTTTGGTCACTATATTTCGCCGCCACGAGCCCAACGAGCTGCTCGTTGGCTCGTCTTTAAGGCGAGGCCTGCTCGGGCTCGTGATTTTACTAGGTCGAGCTGCTCACGAGCCATATTTCGACGAGCCAAGCCGCTTTTGACATCCCTAGGAATTCCCACATCTATCAAACAGGCCCTAAGTCTCAAATATGATACATAACGAAAGGTTTGGTGGAACTTAATTGTATGTATGGAAAAACAATATAATTGAAAAAGGAGCGATTTTATGTTTTAACTTATATTTATATATTGTTTCATTTTCTTATATTGTATTTTGGTAATAAAGTTGAGATTACATGTGTCAAGTTGAGTCTTTGTAGAGGAGATTGGGTAAAAATGGGGATGGCAATCGATTAAGTCGAACTGGCTCGGCCAACTCGTAGGCAGAGCCGAGTCTACGAGCTCGAGTTTTTCTTTTTTATGTTTTTTTTTTACATTTTTGTTCACATTTTACGTGCCCATGGGCCGAGCTCGCCGAACGAGCACCCTGCTCGACTCGTTCTTCGGCTCATCCTGAAACGAGCTGAACTTTTGTGAGTTGTCACGATGTCCAAAGAGAGGTTGCTTGGTGCGATGTTGTTGCTGCTGCCCATAAAAAGCCAGGAGGGTTTAATTGGGAGGTTGGTAGAGTTGCAAGATTAGAGAGAACCAGCTGCAAATTTGCCACATAAATATTTGAAGGTGTGAATATGTTCTCCAATTGTTTCGTGTTCTTCATAGAGAAAATATGCTACTTCTTGTCATCATGTAAATTCACGTTCTTGCGAATCTTGTGCATATGCATTTTAAGTGCTTTCCATACTTACATGTATTATCTCTTAGCCAATAACGATTTTGAGGGTTTCTTCAAAGAGCGTTTTGATGATCCGTCCACGAAGTAGATGATTGGAATTTCATCAGGCAATAAATTTATCTGTTAATTTTAGTATGAAATTTTTTGCTTCTGTGTTGTTGTTTGGATTTGGGGGGGGCAGGGGGGGGGGAAAGGAGACGATTGTTCACCAGCTCACTCAGGCAGAAGCACAGCAGCTCGATCTGAATTTTTCTCCTTCAGGACCACCACTCAGAGCACCGTTGTCGGTGCTGCTGTAATGAAGAGGAGATGACACGGCGAAGATCCAACCTTTCTCGAATCATCGCGAGTTGCGGTGGTGAAATTAATGACAATGGTACCGGCGAACCAGATATGGTGGTTGGGATGGGTTTGGATGGTGTTTTGTGTGGTGATGTTATGTAGTGTTTGCGTGGTGGTGAATCTGGCGGTTGTGTGATTATCTATGCTTAAAGATTCGAGTTAAAGATAATTACATAATTCCAACGAAGATGGTGGTGGATTGGACGGTGTTTTGTGTGGTGGTGGACCTGGTGGTGAATTGGTGATGGCGATTTTTATGGTGGCAGCTGTGGTGGTGAATTTATTCTCTGTAGTAGAGAAATCTAGTGGTGGTTTTGGATGTTGTGGTGGTGTTGAGGTGGCATTGGTGATTGTATTGTGTTGGTCAACGGTGTGTGGGTGCTGTAATGGTGGATTTCCAATCATGGCTATTTGTTGATGTGGTGGTAGTGTATGGTGCGATTGTGGTGGTAGTGGTGGCGTGCGGTGTGCAGTGGAGGTGGAATTTTGCGGCCAATTTAACTGTGTGTTGGTGGTGCTATGGTGCAGTGAGGTGTGTAGTGGAGATAGAGGTGATGGTGCGGTGGTTGGGTGTGTGCAATAGTGGTGTGGTACTGTGTGGTGGTGCAGTGGTAGCTCAGGTGGTGTGTTGTGGTGTTGACCGATTGTTGTGACGTGATAGGGGTGCAATGGTGGTGATGGATAGTGTTTGTGACCAAGTGCTGTGGTGGAATTGGATAAGGATTGAGTGTGGTGTTGCGGTGGTATAGTGCAATTGACGATTGGATGGTGGTGGTTTGTAACCAAGATTGGTGTTGGATGGGACCGGTGGAAGGGGTGATCATAAAGTTTGGTCTGTGACCTTAAAATTTGACGATCTGTGACTAAAACAATAATCTGTGACCTCAACGATTTGGTCCGACACCTTAAAATTCGACAATATGTGACTAAAATAATAATCTGTGATCTCAACGATTTCGTCCGTGACCTTAAAATTTGATAATCCGTGACTAAAAAAATCTGTGACCTATAAAATTTTCGATTTGTGATCTCGAAATAATCCGTGACCAATTAATTTGATGATATGTGACTGGTAAATAAATCTGTGACCATTAATTGTTTAATCGTGACTTTAATATATTTATTTAATAAATAATTTTAATTAATTAAATACAAACCTGAATTTTGAATTTTCAAGCTTCTTAACTTTTGAAATGGTGTAAAGAATACACATTAAATATGAATTTTTTCCTTTATTAATTGGGCCTCACCCAATTAAACCTACTGGGCTTCATTCTCATGGCCCAATATGCATAACATATAATGCTCGAATTTCCATCGAAAATCAAGCAAACTTGCTAGGGTTCGAAAAATTTAGGGTTGTAATCGAAACTTGATCCGTGAAATCGATATAGACAAATGATTTACGACGTTAATTCTCCACTTTTCCGATCCTTCCTCAGCCAGAAAGGCGGTTCTTCTGACAAGAGGTATTTACCATATAATTACCTCTGCTAATTTTCTCGATAATTTTCTCATATACATTTCTCTTTTACAATCTAGCTTTTACTATATCATGTTTTGTGAGTTTAGAATATTTGATGCGAGGCTACAGAATTTGTGTAACCAACAATGCGTAGGTGGGATGTTTTATGTTTTGGTCTCAATTATTAGCTAATTCGGGCTCATTGCAGTTTTATAGAATTTCTGAAATAGGCTAAATTCTCATGAGATTCCCCAAAGGATTTGTAAGCAAAAAAAAATAAAATAAAATAAAAAATAAAAAATAAAAATCGTGTCCGTGAGATTCTTGTAGTTTCATTATAAGATTCATAAATTTAATGTGCATATTGATTCACAGCCCTCTCTGGATTTAATTGGTGGTTTTTGTTAAGTTGCTATTGCACCATATAGTTATTTATTTGAAGACTTGATTTGAACTTTGAAGTAACCTAGTGCACATTTGAAGACCAATAAAGTTGTAAATTTTATTATCCTGAGTATTTTCTGCACATAATTGGCTGGAAACAGCTTATGCAAAATTGTTTGCATCTTTCCATTTTACCTTGGTTCAATATATTTTATTAGGCCTTTCAATATTTGATCAGACAAGGACTTGCTGTTGCAAATATAAAGCAACTTTTTTGAAGAGGAAAATTAAGTTAATTGCTTCTACTTTGAATGTTCTCAGTGTTTAATTGATGTGCTTTGTACAATCGAATGCAATTCCAGGAAAACGGAAGAGCAGAAGCCGAGGGAACAGAAGCCAAAGGCCAATGAAAACAAGCCGGTTATGACAGAGTAATAAGGGCAGTGTCATGGTAAGCTCGAACATGGATAGGGTACCTCAAAGGATATTGAAAATGTTATTAAGCATTCTATCCTAGAACTTGTTATGTGATTTGTGGTTTAATTCCGGATGTTATATCAATGGCAATGGCTTTTGGTTTGTAGAAGAAATCATGCTATAGGTTTTTGGAAATTTGATCTTAGTCCTTTTTGGGATGTGTTGTTTTTCTTTCTTTTTGAGAAGGATGGAGGAGGCTTGGGATTGGGTACGTAATTTCTACAGAATTTAGGGACATGGTTAAATATCTTGATAATCTAAACAGATCATTGTTAATCAAGCGACTATATCAAAGATCTATCACCACTCCAAATTTCAAAAAAATTATTTTAACCATAAAAAACGAAAAATTGGTAAGTAGTTTCAAAGGGTGAATCCCAAGGATAACGTTGATGCAGCACAGGGGTGCGATACAATGGGCATAGGTTGCTGTTTTTCTTCAATAGCAAATTTATTGATTAATCCTGTAACTAACTAACAAATTTAGTGTTTAAAAAAAAAAAAATTAAAAAAAAATTGATGACTTTTATTTTTGAGGTTATTTGGAGTCCCCAGCATTGGCTGGCTTCTCAAAGAACTAAAATGCAGTAATTTGCAATAAATAACATGTTAGGCTACATTTTTGGACGATAATGTCTGTTATAATTCTTGATTCGTTCTTGAGTTAGAACTTACAAGGGCAATTACGTTCACCGACATTTTAAAATGAAGGTCGCAATATTTCTCATTTTGGCACCTATATCCCTAATGTGTTTCTCTTCATATTTTCATATTTAGGCTTCAACTAGCTAGTACATTTGGTCTCTAGTGACATTTTCTATCCAATATTCTGCTATCGTAAAGAGAATATTTTGTTGAACATTTGTATTTATTGTTTATCTTGCTGAATCAAAAATACGATGGACAAATGATCTCTTTTACTTCTTCCAACGAATATTTTGACCATTATCAGGAGCATGATGTACAGGGCCGGTCCTGAAATTTATGAGGCCCTAGGCAACAAATCGTTACGAGGTCCTTAAATATAATTTTTAAGTAAGCATAAAAGCTCTTTAATATTAATTATGATAAATTCAAATTCAATTTCTCTATAACTTTTAAAAAATGAAATGGGAACTTTTTTAATATATATATATATATATTAAAGAAATTTTATAAGGTTAGGAAAATATTATAGGGAAAATTTCTTTAATTTTTTTTAATGCATTGATTTTTTTTTTGGATAGATATTACCATTTTGGTAGATAAAAAATACAACAAAATATATCACTAGACAATAGTTTAATTATAGACCAATTTTATTTTTTAAACAAGAATGTAAGTTAAATGACCCAAGTAATTTGTGCCTTTTATTTAGACCAATATTGTTGTTGTATTTTAAAGGGCTAGAGACCCAACTCAAAAAAACAAGGAAATATTTTGTTGGGTCTTGGAATTTTAATTTCTCTTTTGAAGCCCCTTCAAGTTGGAGGCCCTAGGCAATGGCCTTGGTTGCCTTGGGCCTGGGCCAGGGCTGGCCTTGATGATGTAAGTACGAAAAAAGAGCAAAAGTTGAGAACTTTCATTACAATTAAAATATGGTGCACAAAACAAAAAATATGGAGTCAATATAATTACCCGAGTTTAGAACATAAATACCGTTGATTACCCGAGTTTAGAACATATATATATATATATATATATATTTTACTATTATGGAATCTTGGATCAAAGTCAATTTTTAATAATCCCCGAAGTTTTAATATAGATTTCGGTTTGCCCATTAATTTCAACAACATTGATTTTTTAAAAATTATTTCACTTTTCAAAGAAATGGTGTGTGCTTTCTTAGAATGTAAAATTCGACATTTGAGTTGCAAGAATTGTTTCGTTTCGTACTAGACCAATTCTTTTTTTCGCTTCCCATTTTCATGCATTGCATGTATATACGTGCAAAATATATGTACATGTAAAAGTTTGCACGACGTGACTATAGTTATTAAATAGTTAAATAATAGTGTTATAAAAATGTGCAGATGTTACAAAATTTGCAAAACACATGATAACAAATAAGAGCCGAAATGTGAATCATCTTTCCAGTCGTTGCCTTAATTTCTTGATAGGGCATGGCATTTTTCCATCACTAATCGATTGTACTTAATTCTTGAATGCGTAAAAAATAGAGGCCAGCATTCTAAAATCATTAGAATCCTTATACACGGATGGAAGGATTTTTGCTGGATAGGATTGGCAATGGGCCGAGTCGAGCCGGCTCGGCCCTTAATGCCACGAGCTCGGCTTGTGGGCTCGCCTATTTTTTTTTATTATAAATAAAGAATATAGTTTTAAAAATAAAAAGTGTTAAAAAATATAAAATGTTAAAAAATACAAATAATTTAACAAAAACAAGTTTTTATTTTTTATTTATTTATACCATATTGTAATTTGTAATACTTTTTATAAAATATAAAATATTTATATAATGAAAACGAATTATTTTTTGAAATACATTTACAAAAAATATATTTTTTTAATTTCTTTTTAAAGTTAATAAAATGTAAACCCTTTTCCTTTATCTGGGCTTGGGACCGACTACATCAATTTTAAGTAGGCAGAGTTAAAAATTGTACACGAATAACTTGTTGTAACGTGTACAATTTTTTAAAGAAAATTAAATTTAACGATTAAAAAATAATTTTTTTTGATTAATATAATTAAATTAAATATCACTTACCTGACGACATGCAATTTCAGCGTATTTATCTTGTAGTCGAAAATGAGCGTCCTGCCAATCCTTCACACACATTAACGCTTCCAAAACATCTTCTTTCAGTCGGCTCCTGACATCAGTCAAAACCCTTTTACCTGCACTAAAAGCAGATTCCGAAGCAACAGTGCTAACCGGAGGTGTCAATAGATCTTTCGCAATTGCAGAAACAATTGGCCAACGTCTTTCATACTTTCGCCAGAATTCAATTACTTCTTCTGAAGTTTTTTTAATTGTTCTGTTTGTTGACATATTATGATTGAAATAATCAATTAATTCGGCAGGCATCGCATTTTGAGTTTCGACCGATATTTGATGAGATGCAGATATAGACGACATGGTACTAGATGAACATATTGTAGTTGTATCGTATCTCAATGTATTAATGCCCTGAAATAAATTCATTATTTCCGCAGCTCTTCTTCAGTTTCAGCAGAAGGCGTAGGTGCAGCAGAGGATACCCGACTAACATTTGCACCCATTCTTTCCGCTTATAAATCATACATTCTACATAATGTTTGCTCTAAATTCTTATAGGTGATAGGTGTATCAAGTATTAAAACTTTATTGATTCGATCAATTACGTATTTAATTCCCGAAATATTATATCAGGGGTTTATTGCGCATACTAAAGGAAATAACATAGGCAGTTCTTCCCAATATTTTCTAAACTTTAATTCCATAGCAATTAAAATTTCACTAAAAGTAGGATCATTTTTATATTTATGGAATGTTCTTGCAATTATATAAAGGCGTTCAAACACCATACAGCTTGTGAAATAATAAACGTCGGATAAAATCTTTGTGGTCTCATAAAAAGATGTCAAAAATCGTTTAACTTTCAAAGTTAAAATCCAATCGGATTCATTTAACATCATCATCACTTCTAACATGTCTATTATTATAAAAGTCAGTTATTAAATTTTCGAAACTTTCACATGATTTTAATAACAAGTATGTAGAGTTCAATCTATGACCTCGTTGCTAACAAATGTTTTAGCAGTCATCATCTCTAGTTCGGCACAAAAATTTTCAAATGCTTGTTTTCTACTATGAGAGATCGTAATATATACTAATGCATTCCTAATCCTTTGAAATTCATTCTTTATATGTTTTAAACCATCTTGCACAATTAAATTCAAGATATGACACACACAACGAATATGAAACAAATACCCACCAAAATCAGGTTGAAGTGTCCTACACAATTTATCGACGACTACCTTATTAACGCTAGCATTATCAAAAGTAAAAGATCGAATTTTACTCTCACAATAATATTCTCTAACAATACTGATAATAGCATTATATATATTATTAGCATTGTGAGAAAATTCAATAATTCTAAAAGCAATAATTTTCTTACGCATGCACCAAAGTGGGTCTATATAGTGTGCGGTTGCAGCTATATATGCTTTTTTATTAACCCCTTCCCATATATCAGAAGTTAAGGATATAGCACCCCCATATTGTTGCAAATTCATAATTAATTGTTGTTTTGAATTATTGAAATAATTTATTTTATCGGCACGAAGAGTGTTTCGACTTACCCCAACGTACCTCGGTTGTAGATATTCTTTCACGAACGAGACGAAGAGTTGGTTGTCTGCAATAGCCAGAGGCAACTCAGTGACGGCAACAAATTTCACCATTCCGGTTTGAGTCTCGTCCTCCGAATACACCCACGTGGATAGGGGTGAAGTTGTAGAACCGGCGCCTGGACTACCATATTGTAATTGTGTTTGACCAGCTGGAAGAAGTCCATGTCTGGCTGCAAATGATTTGTAGTGGCGGTTGAGATGAGTGGTACCAATTCTTTTTTGTCATGCCAATCTTTGTTGGCAGTATTTACATACTGCTTTAGATTCTTCAAGGCCATCAACGACTTTTCCCGTTAAAATCAATTTAAAGTGATCTCAACATTTTGCTTGTTTTTTGGCCTTTCGCTTTCCCATCGCATCTGGGATATTTAATTGCTGATCTTCATCTTCATGTTCCGTTTCGGGAACGTTAATATCATCCAAATCAATTGGAGTGTGGCTTCCCTGACCGTGAATGTGAACATCTTCAGGTATCGGTATGTCATTTAGACTGGCAAATTCATTTGGAAATTGACTTTGCTGCATCCTAGGCGATTCTCCATGATGTGGCAATGGCTCACATCCTGTATCAAACAAGCTCTCAACAAATGAACGTTGATCCATTTCTGTGATTGTTTATGATGAAATCTTGACTAGATGAATATAAATATAGTGAGATTGTGAGAATTGAGAATTGGATGAATTGAAATTGTAACTAATAAACTGTAAAAAATAAATTGATATTATATATTTTGCAACATAAGAGAGTAAACACTCGATAATTGATATAACAAAAGAGAGTTGAGAGAGTTGTAATCTTAGAAGAGCAATT